AGTAACAAAATGGTTATAAAAGTAGTAATATAATTAGAGTAATAAAAGTTTGGACAATTTGGATTAGGACAATATGAGACACAAAACCCAAAGAGTTACGGACATTTCGGGTACCTCTTTCTGGGCAAAATAAGCCCGAAAAAGGACACCCGTTAACAGAGGATTAACCCTTAAAGGCAATAATCTGTTGCATATTCATACACCTCATACATGATGCATAATTCCATTCAAACAAAGGATTCTGTCTGGTCAGTGTCAGCTTCTTCCTCTTAATCCTAACAGCATCTTCATGGCTGAGCAAGGTGGGAAGAAGTTAGTTTATTCTGATAATGGGGAAATAAATTCTCTTTCTCTGAAAGATTAGGTGTCCTGTGGCTGCTATCTCGGTGCGAGTCCCCTCTTAAAAAAAAAAAAATGACGTAACACAGTTCCTATTTTAACATTATGTTATAACTTAAAACTATATTTAAGAAAGCAAAGAACTACTTAAGAAAATTAACACAGCACAACATTCTAACGGAACACATACAATATTCATTTTAACATTTGCCAAAAGCCAATCCTAACATACGCATTTTTCACAAGACCCGATCCCCCCCGAGTCCCGCGTGGACGCGGGCTCCCGGTGCCGGGCGGGCTCCCGGTGCCGGGCGGGCTCCCGGTGCCGGGCGGGCTCCCGGTGCCGGGCGGGCTCCCGGTGCCGGGCGGGCTCCCGGTGCCGGCGCTTCCCCCGCGGGCCGGGAGGTGGCACTGTGCCCCCGGACACGGGCAGGCCGCACCTCAGGGCGGGCAGGGCAGCGCCTCAGGGCGGGGAGAGCGGAGCCTCAGGGCGGGCGGAGCCGAGCCTCAGGGCGGGAAGAGGGCCCCGCGCTGCCCGGGATATTCCCCGTGGATGCGCCCCGGGCGCCGCTGCTTTCAGGCCTTTTTCTCCACTCCCGGCACTTTTGGGGTTTGGGTTTCCTCACTACGAGCTGGGGAGGTGGTTAAAATTAATAAACCCCGCTCTTTCTTGCAGCGGCTCCATCGCGGAGCCAGCCTGGGCAGGGCAGCGGGTGAAGGGTTCACGCTGCCCGCATCTCCTTGCGGGGTGGTTCTAGGGTGAGAGGCTGGGGGAACACGACTGTCCCCCTGTGACATTGCAGGTTGGAGCCCCCGGCAGCCCCTGTCCCCTGGGGACAGCTTTCCCGCTCCCACTCGAGTCTGTATTTTGTTCACTTCCCTGCCCTCAAAAAAAATACAAATTTGTTCTTTGTTATTGTGAAGTGTAAAAACGAAAAATTTAGAAAGCCCTGGGAAATGGGAGAAGGCAGGGCCCTGCTGTAGTGTCCGCTGGTTTGGTTTGTCTTTTGTCCTGTAGTTTGAAGTGCATGGAAGCGGTCACACTGTGCTCCTGCAGTCCCGGGGGTCCCAGGGAGGACCTGCCATGCCCATCCCACACTTTACCCCAGAGCGGGGCTGTGGGCACAGCTCTGCCCCGTCCTGCACCTCCAGAGCCTGCCCCACCACGAGTGATGCCTCCAGCAAGGAAGGCTTCATATGGGGATGTACTGCTGTGGGGGCACCCCGGGGGCTGTTGTTGCTTTTATACAGTCAGGTGTTCTCTGTCCACCCTTACGGGACCTCTCTCAGCAGTTCCTGCTGCTCCCCAGGATGCAACAGTGCTTCCACCCTGGAACAGCCAGAGAGCACAGGAGAGCTGCTGCTGGTGCCACTCGGAAGAGAGAAGTCCATGGAGGAGGCTGCTGAGTGAATCCAATCTGTGACAGCTCTGGAGGAAACTGAGAAATGTTGGGAGCCCAGCAGCTCATCCTACTTCTGGCACTGCTGCACTGCCTGCTTGGGGCTGGTTTGTTGGGACTTTGTGCCTCCTACCATTCATTTGGTGTGTATTAACAAAGTCAGACCTGCAAGACCTGGGGCCAGCTCCCCCGTGTCCACATTGCCTGGTGCCAGGGTGTTCAAACACACTTTCCCTAGTGTAGAAACCTAAGATTTGAAATCACCAGGACAAAGGAGCACGAAAAGAAATAGAGGCACAAAATTATTTACTCAAACACCTGACCAGAGCCAGGAAACAAAATCAAATACTTTAATTTCTAGTGACTGACCTCTGTGTCAGAAGGGGCTTTTGCTCCAAGATGTTTTACGTGCTGCTTTCCATGGCAGGACCCCCAGGAGTGCTGCAGGGATACACACACACACAGAGATCTTCTCTTGTAGCAGTGGAGCTGGCTCAGGGAAGGGAATGTCAGAAGAAAAAGCAGCAGGAGTCTGTAGTAGCAAGATAGAGATGCTACAGATATTTGCAAAAGATCTGTGGCTAAAAAAAACATTTCCCACTGGCAGCGTGGTATCTTTTTCTAGAGCTAAATTCATATTTCATCTCTTTTTATGCCTCCGGAACAGCGAGGGGAGATGGCAGGACCCGTGGGTGGGCTCTGCAGGGTGCCATGTGCTTCCTCCCACCATTCATCAGCCCCAAGCAGGCGCTGCAAACGTGCCCTGCTGCGACTGCCACGTTCTGCACGTGCCCAGCTGCTTTTCCCATGGGAAATGGCTCTGCAGGAAGGCTCACCAGCCCTGTGGTTTGCAGGGGGATCATCAAGGATCAGAGGATGTCTCTTGAGCACTTGTGAGCCAGCATGGTACAGCCCACAGTGCTGCTGCCCAGGGAGCATCCCCAGGGCAGGTTGGTGCCATCCTGTCCTTTGAACCACTTGTATCCTTTGGCCACGGGTGGGACAGGCAGTGACAGTGGCAGCTTTGGTGGGACAGGCAGTGACAGTGGCAGCTTTGGTGGGACAGGCAGTGACAGTGGCTGTTTTGGTGGGACAGGCAGTGACAGTGGCTGCTTTGGTGGGACAGGCAGTGACAGTGGCTGCTTTGGTGGGCAGAGGTTCCAGCAGGGCAGGTTGCAGCATTCTGAGAGTGCCAGGGCACTCACACCCTGTCTCTGCAGGGAGAGTGGCTCCTAATCCCTGTGCTGCCCAGGCTGCTCAGCAGCATGTGGGCCCTTGAATAAACAGAATTTAAGCCTGGAATCTGGCATTCATCTGGCTGGCCTGAAATCAAGGCCTGTCCCTTAAAAACCCACAACTTCCCTTCACATTTCTGGCAGTGCAATGCTTGGTGTGCCCCAGACATAAGCATACACTCCTCCCAGTCTTGCAGCTCACATCCTCTTCCAGTGGGCTGCAGTTTTCCTGTGGAAACAAGCTCTGAAATATCCTGTAATTATAGTATTACCTCCTAGGATCAGGTGCTACCTTCTCATAGCTGCATGTGGATCTGAATGTGTATTTGGACTGCATGGCTTTGAGGTTTAGAGATAGTACAAGCATACCTCACAATAACCCTCCTCTGCACAGACTTTTTTTTTTTTAATGGTTGCTCAGGCTAGTTTGAAAAGAAAGTCAGACTTTCTTTTCAAACTAGTTAAGATTATGCTTTTGTAAATGTGTATATCTCTAAATGATCCAATATCCAGGTGGTGTATTTCCATGTCTCTGCATGGCCAGCAGTGAGAGCTGGGCAGACGCTGGCTCCCTTTTGGGGTGAGCTGCAAGCTGGGACTGACCCCAGCCCTCCTGCACAAGCTGCCTTTGCCCCACCAGTGTAACAGCTGCCAGCAGCCCAAGCTCTCCCAGACGGCCTCATGCAAAGCCCACCTGGTGACACTGATTGCTCTGGAGCGTGCAGGAGGTCACAGCTGCTCCCCGTCACCCTGGAGTGGTGGTGCTGTGGCTGCAGCCCCGTGGCGCTCCCAGCAAGAGCTGCTGCAGGATGGGATGTATCCCAGAGGTGTATGGCAGCTGTAAGGAGGTGAGTTGGTTTGGGGAGGCTGCAAGTGGAGAGGGAGGGAATTGTCCCTGTTGTGTGGTGGTCGCTGGAAAGGGACTTTCCTTGGAGCCACCACTGTGTGCTGCACAGAGCAAGGGCTGGGCTGTGCTCTGAGGGCACCTGGGCTGGCTCTGCTCTTGAGTTGGGGGGTGAGCCAGCTCACCCCTGAAGTCAGGGTGAGGTGTGTGCCCAGAAATGTGCCATGGAGGTTTTCCCTGTGTCTCACCTGTCTCCACCAAGCTCTAGTTTTTAACTTTGCTTTCGTGTGGTTTATTGCTGATTTTCCTCCTCCCCTTCTGAGATGGTTCCACTAGCAGGGTGCTAAAGAAATCTCTTTGAGATAATCATCCCAGATCTCTCTTGTGGGCTTGCCACGTGCTGGTGTGCCTGCATGGGTGTATTAATAGTATCGCACTACTATGTGTCAGCGTTCATCCCAAAGTGCTTCCCCTGCTGAGGGCTGAATAGAAACAGAGCAGGTGAAAGGAGCTTCTGCCTCACCTCCCAGAGCCCTCAAAGCCATAGGGTGTGAGAAGACCCTTCCTGCTGGTCTTGCACCAACTCAGAGTTTGGCTCCCTGATCCAGCTGGGATCTCCCATGTGTTTCCCTACCCACAGTGGCTTTGGGGAGGGAGCAGAGCAGTGGTGGTGTGGCATTGTTCATCAATGCTCTGACAAGCTGCTGGCCCTTGCAGCAGAGCTGCCTTTCATGGGAAGGCTCTGCCACCTGCTCAGCTCTGCTCGGGTGTCTGTGGCCAAGCTCCTGACAGCATGTGGGCTGTTCTCTCGCAGGGAGCAGGGATAATGCACCTGGAGTCATATTAAAATGTTAAAATTGTGAACAAAACCCCGTCAGGAAGGATTGTTGGTAGGCATGTGCACAGGGCAACACAGGGTGGTTTTTCCCCCTCCCTTGTCTCCATTCTAGAGGTTCAGGTGAGGCTCCTCACCAGCCTTCTACTGCTCTGGAAGGTTCTGGTTGTGAATTCCTTAAGGAAGCCATGCCCTGGCCTCTGCCTCCTATCCTCAGGGGATGTGGGTGTGGGCTGGTGTCTGCTGGATGCTCTCCATCACCTCACTGGTGGGAGGAGAACGAGAACCCATTTGGAATCAGGGATGATGGGATTTCTCCAGGTGACACAAAGAGACTCTGCATTTCATTCCAGCTGTCCAGCAATAGAATATATTTAACTTAAAAAAAAAAATATCCACAGTATCAAAACACAAGAAGTCACAATCCAATACCACTCAGTGATATAAACAGGCATACAAATGGTCCTCTGCAACCCCTCAGTTTGGCCTCCAGTACGAAAAGGAAAGATGGGCTCACCAGCAAGGTGCAAACGGCACAGGTGGGCAGGCCCCTGCTCCCTCCTTCCTAAGGTGAGGAATCTGAGCTACCCATGCATGGCCAGAACCACAGAGCACACAGACTAGAGCCAGCAATCCCCCTCCCAGCCTTGGAGCAGTGCCTGTGCTGGTGTGGGGTGGGATGCCTTGCTGGGTGTCTGGGGGAGCACTGCCATCATCTCCAGCAGTGCTGGGAGAGGTGAGCCCCTGTTTTGATCCCTACCCAAAATGTGCCATTCCCTTCCACCTGCTTGTTGAAGGCGTTCTCAGAGCTGGAAGATGAATTGAGCTGCTCTGGCCTTTGCCATTCTTAGAGCCTGAACAAAGCCTTCACTTCCCACTGCACCATTCCAGCAGTGGGGACAGGGCGTTTTTGCTTCCCTCTGGCCACTTGGGTGGGTGCAAGAGAAGCAGGACTTGACTTTTAGCCTGGCTTAGGTATTTATACAGATGACAGGAGGAGGAAGGATGGGTTGTGGTTAGCATGAGCTCTGGTGGGATTCACTGTAATTAACCCTGCTTCAGATGGTGCCACTGTGACTCGGGGTCTTGCACCATGCTGCTCCCACAGGGGATGGGAATGCTGAGTGCCAGTTTGGGAAATAAATTGCAGCACTGCTTCAAAGTGCATCGTGTGTGTGAGCGTGAAGCAAAGTCAGCTGGAAAACACAGGGCTGTGTTGCGACGCCATGGTTAGCAAGTGTGTGGGAGAAGACATGGCTTTTACCTGGGAGGAATGTCAGACCTAGCCAGGGTCTCCTTGTACCTGGGGCTAGATGCCAAGGAACTCTTGGTGGTGTCTTGCAGTGGATGCAGTTTGGGCTGGGTAGCAATAAAATGCATCCTGGCTGGAGTGTATGCATGTGTGTGAGCTGCGGGGTCAGCCAGAACAAGCAGGAGGCAGGGAATAAAACAGCCCTCTGGAGAATACTGGGACTGTGATCTTCAGCTTCCTGCCCACACAACTCAGCACAACACTCCCAGCAAGGCTTAAGGGCAATTTCCAGCACAACTGGAAGGTCTTTAATAAAATGTGTGCACACAGGGAGGGACATGCAGCTTTGTGTCTTGGGAAGCACAGGGTGTGGCACAGATGGAGTCCCCTCTCACACCTAACTCTCCTGACCCGTGGCTGCCTGTGCCAGAGCTGCTCCCACCACAAAGCCCCACTGACCTTCCCAGCTGTGAGCACCCCCAAACCCCTGCAGCAAGGATGGCCAACCAGACAAAAGGCTGGGAGGGTGGGGGTCACCTGCCAAAGCACCTGTTCCATGGTAAATATGGATTTGGCAACACCAGTGAACTTGGGAAAATGGTACTGTGCCTTGCATTGCAATGATTGGGTTGACCCAGAATGAAGCTGTTTTTTCACTGGGTTGGTTCCTACCTGGAATTGCTTTCCAATGAGTAGTAAATCAGTTGTTCAGCCCAGCTGGGTTCAGGTACCAAGAAGCTATTTCATTAAAGCCCTTTTTTTGTTTTGGTTATTGTTTGGGGTTGTTTTTGTTGTTGTTGTTGTTGTTGTTTTTTTTTTTTTTTGGAGAAACCTGGTTTTCACAATCAGAAAGGAGCAGCAGAAAATTCTGTTGCTGGCAGATGGGGGTGAAACAACTGAATTTATTCTTCATTACCCACGATCACTCTTTAGCTGTAAAACTGGCATGTCAAACATCTACATTTACAAAGCAGGTGATGGTTCTGGGATAGCTGGAGGCCATGCACTTCGGACCAGAGGAGGGGCTCGGGCTGTGCCCTCTGGCTGTGCTGGTTTGCAGCTGCTCCCACAGGAGGGAAGGGAGTTATCCAGCCTCCTGGAGGTGGAGGTGTTGTCCCCTCTGCAGTGCTTCGGAAGGAGGTGTGAAAGCGCTGGGTGGTTAATTTTACCCTAAAGAGAAAGAAAGTAATTGTTGATAGGGGAAAGCTCCAGATTTTCACTCATACCTGTGTCTTCACAGCGTGGCTCTTCTTGTCAGTGCCTGGATTGTGGGCACCAGACACACCTCTCCAGATGCTGCCAGCTGCCCACAGAACTCTGACCTCTTGTGAGAGGAGCAAAACCAATCATAGTGGAGGGTGTGGTACTAAAGATGGGAAGAGCAGAACCCCCTGGTGAGCACAGCCCTGCCCTGGGCTCAGTCTCTGAGCTCCCCACTGCTTGCCATGGGGAGACCTGAAGCCAAGGTGAAGCCAGTCTCACCATTGCCTGAGAGCAGGCTGCTGCTCACACCTGGGCTGGGGGGAGACTGGCAGTGCCGGTTTTATTCAGGGCTATTGGAAAAAGCAGAGGGATTTATCATTTTTATTACTACCACAGGACTGCCTTGGGCAAAATGCAATTTGATGCTTGCTGCCTGGTAGCAAGGCCAATCTATAAAGTGGCTCCTGTCCTAAAGCTGAGAGTGGTAAACTGCTTCTAATTAAAATCAATTGAGCAAATCACCACAATAGGCAAAAATAAGGCTTTTTGTCCTGGGTGACATTTGACAGATTTCAGTGCCTCTGAAGTGGTGCACTGAGTGTTTTCTTGGCTTCACCAATTCAATAAGAAGATGAAAGATAAGAAAAAAATTTACAGAGCAAAAGGGGAAAGTAAATTATAAATCCCACACCTTATCTGTGCAGGGCTCAGACTCCTTCATGCAATAAATGCAGGCAGCACCCAGACTAACCAAAGTGATGCTCTCAGAGACCTGCAGCCATCCTGGGGAGGGCAGCATTTCCATTCAGTCCTTTCCCAGCCAGTCCAATTCCCCCATCCTCACTAGAGCACAGAGACAGACAGCACCAAGTGTGGCCCAGAAGTTCAGCAAAACCCTGGTGATGCTGATGAGGAGATTATTCTGTCCCTTTTTGTTCCCAGGGGACCTTCTGTGCAGGTGCTGGGTCTCTGGGATGAGGCATCTGCTGCTGATCTGATAACTGATGCCACAGGGGATGTGACTTTTGGCACTTTAGGCCCAGTGAAAATGTCATCTTGTTTATTCCTCCCCTATCTTGTGCTGCCTGTCCACTACACATTTAAATCCACAACCCAGCTTCACAGGCACCAGAAGAAGTTGTTCTTAAGCCACACTTGCTGCTCCTCTTCCAAAGGTTTTGCCTGGTTCCTTTTATCCATGGCCTGTTATCCATGTCTGCAGGGGCTCCTGCACACCCATCCTGACACCACAGCACAGCTAACTTGGTGCTTAGGCAGTGTTTGGTGTTTGCACTTTGCCCAGCCATTCTGGTTTGGCAAAGGTGAGGGGGAACCATTGCTCTTCGTCATTGCACGTGCTGCAGCTGAGCAGGCAAGTGGTTTGGGTGGCTTCAGGGCCAGTTACAGACCTCAAAAAAAGAGTTCTCACTGATGACAGCAGCAGCTTGTGAAGGTGTTTTCCAGATGTGCTGCAGATTCCCCATTTGCTGCTGGTTAGGATAGGATCCTATTTATTCCTTTTTTTCTCAGGTGGGGAATGGAGGAGCAGAGATGGTCTGTCTCACAGGGAATGCTCAGTTCTGTAACACCTGTACAGCCCAGCAAGCCACAGAGCTGCAGATGCACTGCACAGGCCACTCCCTGAACCAGTCCCTTTGGTAGAAATGGGCAAAGACACTTGAAATTGTTGAATGTTGTGAGCAGAAATCTTTTTGACCATTGCTGTGGCAGTGGTGCTCTTGAGGAGCTCATCCCCTGGCTTTAGGGAAGGTCCCGGATGGCTCTTGGCTTTTCACCACTGACCTGCTTGGTTGGTTTTCTCCAGCTGCTGCTGTCCCCCACGCCTTTTCCTGGCAAAGCAAGGTAACTGTGGCTGGCTGCAGCCTGGCATCCTGGCAGGATAACTGGGCTGCTTTTCCTCTGGAGCACTTCCAACCCTGGCCTAACTGAGAAGCACCCTGAGAAGCACCAACTGGTACTTGTCTTCCAAGGAAAGCTTTTCTTTTCTGCTGCCTGTGTTGTGTGGTTTGTGTCGCTCTAAAAACTGATGGTTTTTCATATCTTTTCCTCTAAAATGACAAATGCAAAGTCTTTCTGTCTGCACCATGCACGATCTTCACTTTCTATGCAGTAGCTCAAAAAGTGGAGCTCAGCATCCCTGTTTGGGTACAGGGTAGTGACTAAATACCTGCTTCTGTCTGTCCAGCATGGCAGTACAAGCAACAGTTTAGGGTGTGAGGACAGAGAAATGCAGCCTGAGTTATTCCTATGCTTCTGCCATGGGTTTGCTTAGGAGACGTGTCCTTTTTCCTTACTCTGTACTGAGAGCTGTACAAATACACTGCCCTGCCTGAAGTCTGGCTTGGTAAAATGTACAATTAATTGTTTGTGTTACAAATTTGCCTCCTTGTTTATATATATATTTTTTAATTTTTTTCCCAATTAATACTGCTGAGATCAGAGGAAATGCTTGAGCCAGCATCTTCACAATGAAAGGTGGTGCTCCCAAGGCTCCTAATTCTCTGCCCCTTCCTCCTGTTCATGTAGCCTAAAGCTTTTCATAGTGCCCAGCCATAGAAGGGTGAAGTGAAAAAAAGTCTGTCATCCCTTCTGATGCCTGCATTGGATAAATAGGCATAGGTTGGAGGGATCCTCTCCCACCACAAGTTAGTTGGGACTATGGATGCTGCTTTATCCTCAGTCCTGAAGAAGGATCTCCTGAGCTGGGATAGCAAAGATGTACTGATGCCTGCTTTCCACAGGCTGTGGGCTCACAGCACAGTGTGGGCATTGGGCAGGGAGGAAACTTTCTGGGAAGAGAGGTGTTGCATTAAATCCAGACAGTGCCCAGGCATCAGGAGAACAGCAGGGGCTGTGGGGAGGCTAAGACAGAGGTTTGCACCAAAACACCCAAGGAGCTTCCTACCCCAGCAGCTCTCTGTGGGATCACTGACAGGTGCCCTGCCCAGCACAGGGCTCTCCTCCACCCTTGGTGGGCAGCTCAGGGCACTTGCTGCTTTTTGACACCCCAGCTCTCTTTACAACAGGAGGCATTTAGCTGACAGGACCTGTTCTGTGTGAAAAATAAAACCTTTGTTAAAAGGAGACCATCATAGCAGGAGAGGCTGGACACTTGCAGGGCAGTGGGGTCTGCTGCCATCCCTTTCTCACCATCTGCCTCCTGGCAGGAGCAGTGGACTGGGAGTGGGTCTCAGCTCTGCCACGCTTGGGTGGCTCCTGGTTTTGGCAGAGGGTTTGCGTGAAACTCCTCTGGCTGGAAGGGCCCTCCCTGCATGTCAGCAGCCTGGCTTTGCCCTTTCAGCAGGGCTCCTCCTGTCTTCTTTTTGGAGAGGAAAAGCATCCAGGTGCTGGCACCAAGCCAAGCTCTTCTCACCCTAGTGCAGTCAGAGGGATCACTCCACCTGCAGCCACTGCAACTCTGCACATGGTGTTCAAACCACGAAATCACAGCCCCACCCCATTTGGCCACGGGCCTTCCAACCACAACAGCTCCCAAGCACCTGTCTGGTACCAGGTGGAGATCCTGGAGTTTTGGATACTTACCTGGGGAAGCAGAGCTGGGATGCTGCTTCAGCCAGGAGCACTTGGTGTGCTCTAAGGGGATCCATTTCCAAAGCATGGAGACACTGCCAGCAAGTCCCTTTCAGGGGCAGGAAAGGTTCTTAGGCTCCCCCAGTATTGTTTTATATGAGAGGCTTTGGGCAGTACTTGCTGCCCTAGAGGCAAGGTGCTGCAGGACGCCAGTCCTGTGCTAGGAAAAGTGTCCCCTGGGCTGGTGGGAGCTCTGGTCTTTGCACGGTGGCAGCGGGTGGAAGCAGGGGATGGCCCCGGTCACTTCAGCGGTACAATACAATTTACAGCAAGCACATTTCTCAAGACATCTGCGGGGACAGAGCTTCAGTGAACATCATATCTACACAGGCAGCAGAGAGGGCTGGGTTGGACCCTCCACTACTGCAGAGCAGTCACAGACGGAATCTCGGGGCAGGAAAAAAGTACCACTGGTTTGCTTTTACATCCTGTACGTGTATCTATGAACAGCTCCTTGGCATTTGATGCTCACAGCCAGCGTCCTTTAACAGCGAGCATAAAAAGGAGGCAAAACATCTTCAGCGACCTCCCCCTGGAGCAGGGGGAAGGCAGCATCTCCCCCTCCCTTGATTCAGCTGCACGCCCAGGTGCCACCTTTGCCAAGGGCGTTTCCTTGTCCTGGCACCCTCGTCCTCCTGTCCTCCTCGTGGGCCGCCCACCTCCTGCTGGCCGGGACCAGTCCAAGGCCAGCCGTGCTTGCCTCATCTCCGCTGCTCGGGCGTCAGTGCAAGTCTGCGCCGGCTGCTCTGCATCTCCGCTCCGCTGGACGGGCACGAGGACCGGGCAGACACAGGGAGACAAAACAAAGGGGACAAGAAGAGAGACAAAGGGTAATGAAAAGGTCCGTGGCCCACGGCTGCCAAAGGAAATCTCTCGCCGTGTTTCTCTGACCACACTTGTCCCAGCCACTACAGCTGCTGTGGGATCCCCTGTTCCTTGTAGCCTGTGAGGAGGGAGGGGAAGGGAACACGATTAGAGTTAATTCCAAATGAGGACCCTCGGTGAGGCTCAAGCAAGCCACGAGCCTGGTTTACCAGGAGTGGCAAAAATAAAAAAAACACGTGGGAAAACAGGGGGGCTGCCACATTCTCCCTCGTGGCCAGGCTGCCCAGGGCAGCCCCTGCCCTGCTGCTAGCCAACAGCTGCCTGGTGCTGCCTCCTTCCTGGGCACAGCCATGTGGGTGCTGGCAGCCAGCCCTGCTGCTCTGGCACCTGCCTGCCACCAGCCTGGCACAGGCACCTCTGCTTGAAGAGATTTGTCCTGGATTGTCAAGCACATTGTATTCTATTTGACATCTATGGCAGTTGTCTTCTGTTCAGTGGGCAGTTTTCCTTATCTCTTCCACAACTATTCCTCCCTCCGGGGAGACATCTGCTGATAACAGGCTCTACAGCATCCCATTGGGAGACGCTCCACCCAGAGGGAGGAGCCAAGCATTCCTACTGGAGATATAATCTGGAGATTCTGGAACACCAGCACTGCTTTCTCCACTGGATTTCCCAGAGGAACAGCAGCTGACTCTTCCACTGGATCTTCAGAGGAAGACTACACCCTTCTACAGGATCCCTGCTCCAACAGAGCCACACCTGACACTCCAGGAGGACTGCAGCCACAATTCCAATTGGACTGCTACCAGCACAGCACCCTGACCAGCAGGGTGTCAGGTTGTGTTCTGACTCTGTCAGTGTTGTTTTAGTTTACTGCATTGCTTATTTTATTTTTTAATTTTTTTCACTGGTAAAGAACTGTTATTCCTGCTCCCATATTTTTTGCCTGAGAGCCCCTTAATTTAAAATTTATAGCAATTTGGAGGGAGGGAGTTTACATTTTCAATTTCAGGGAGGCTCCTACCTTCCTTAGCACACACCTGTCTTTCGAAACCAATACAAGATTGTAAGAGCACAGCAGGTACCAGTGGTCACCAATTCCAGCCCAATAACCTACAGTTTTTATGGAGTGTGTTTTCCTGCAGTGCAGGGCAAATGGATGCCCTTGTATCCTGCTCCAGAGACACGGCTGTTCCCAAGCCCTGCCCTGGTAGGCTGTGCATCCCACACACATCTCTCCTTGGGATCTACTTGTTTTTGAACCTCATCCTCCCAGAGCACTGCCAGGTAGGAGGAGGTTGGTTTCCTCTATCCATCTTTGTGTTCCCCTGCTGGCTTTTGCTGACAGCACTCCCCAGCAGCAACCAATTTGCACAGGTGAGCAAACACCTCTTGAAGGAGAAGGGGAATGCCTTGACTCACAGGATGAAGTGTCAAACACAGATCATGGGATGCCTCTAATGATATCCTCACTGCCTGGTTCTGCACTTGCTTTGCTCCAGCCTAGCAGAATTACAGGTGCTTTTGTTAGGGCACAGCAGCCATCCAGTGGGCCTGGAGGAAACCAATCTTTTCAGCAGCAAAACCAAGGAAACTGCCAGGATCCCTGTTCCTTTTCACCCTTTCCTCTTCCTGTGGCCATGAGGTTGATGCACTTCCCAACCAAGACAGCAAAGCCCTTGGGGTCCCCCAGTGTGTTGCAGCCACATGGATGTTCCAAGGGCTCAAGCAGCCTGTCCTGCTGCTTGTCACAGCTCCTTGGGCTCCTGGGGCCCCAGATAATTACTGTCCTGCACACAGGCTGCAAATCCCACAGGGGACAGCCTCATCCCCTGGCAGGGCTAGGGCAGGGAAGGGCAATAGCAGAGCACCTGCAGCTCCTGTGCTAGTACAGGATGATGAGAAAAATACTGGATTTCTTAACACTTTCCTAAGCGGTTGCAATGACTGCGCCAGAAGCTTTCCCCACTTTCCTTTCAAGACAAGCTTGTTATTCTGACTGTATCAATGCAAAAAAATCTCCTTATTAAAGAAGCAAACTGCCCTTACTTGCAGTGCCTGCCACAGTGAATATCTTTCAACTAAAAAACTTTTTTCAATCTGGAGGGGGTTTTTTTCTTAGCTTAACTAACATAAGTAGTCTGTCATTTTTATATTTTGAATTTCAAAGAAGTCTGAAATTTTATATCTCAGAAGAATGCTTAACTTTTCAAACACTTTTCCATTTATGCTTTGTAATATTCTTTCTAACCCTTATGTTAGGCTTTTTAAAGTCCCTTACAAAAACTGAACATAAAATACCAGCAGGTGCCAGAACTCCTATCTTTAATGGACTTTTTGCTGAACTAAGAATTGACTCCAGCGAATGAACTTTGCTGTACTTTGGAAAAAACCAACATGTTCCCCCAGGTTTGGCAGCCTGGACCTCCTGCTGCTAAACAAGCACAAGGGACAGAATAATGACACTTAACTGAATTTCTGCCTATTGTGTGCAGCTGAACAGAAAGACTCTCATCTCTTTCAAACAGCTTTTTCTAGGGGGCAAAATGGTGATTTCACATGCATTTATGTTTTAAGTGTGAGTCAGCTCTGAAGGCAATGTGAGCTGGCTGGAAACTTGTAATTTGGGCTTGTCTATGGTATGGGTTTGATTTGTTTAGGGAGCAGAGTTAAAAAAGCAAACAAACAACCCTATGGACCAGAAAGGTGGGGCCTGCCTTAAATCTTTAGCTAAAGTAGGAGTAACCTACTTGTACAGCCATGCCTTTATTGAGATATAAGAAAATTAAGATTGAGAAATCCTTTCAGTCTGGCTGTCACTGTTAAAACTGGCTGAAAGGAAGTTACAGTGGCCAAGCCTGTCTCTTTACATAACCATAAGCCAAAAAATGACCTGTCCTATGCTAAACTTGTTTCTTACAATACTTCAGGCTTATCAAATAGTTTATATGTGAAAATAGTTATTGCATTGCTTGCATAGGACTAGCTGTTCTGTATGAAGCAGCTTTACATTAATACGCCTGCAATAAAATTGAGGTGCAATCCTGTAGAACAGACAGCTCTGGGTTCAGGATTAAGTGGGCCTGTGCACAAAGTCACTGATTGAATCAAGTTTACTTGAAATTGCACTTCTGTAAACCACTGCACGTAAGATTGAGGCAAAAGGAACCCAGTCTATGCACAGGCTGTCCTTCTGGGACTGGGTTCATGCAGAGGGTGGTTTCAGGATGCTCTCAGTGCTGAAATTCCTGCTCTGCTCCGAGGGCGCCCTTGGGGCATCCCCAAGGGCATTTCAATGCTGTGTGAAGATTTTCAGCATCCCTGGGGCTGTGCAACCACAGGACAGACACAGACACAGTCGGACACACACATGTAAAGGCTGGACTTGTGCTGGGAGTGGGCAGCGCTGGCCAAAGTGAATTCCAGGTGTCCAGCCCCACTGATGCTCGCTGCTCTCCATGGGAAACTGCCTTAGAACTTGAGGAGGAGGAGGAGGAGGAAGAACAGAAACAAACTTACCTTGTGAGACTTTGATGGTGAACAAAAGGAGGCAAAGGAACATGAAAGAAAGAGAGAGGGAGAAATGTAACTGTAGATGGTATATCTGAAACACACGGAGAACCAGAAGAGAATGAACAAACTGAGGCTGCAGAGTAAACAGAGAACAGCTGCTCTACCATCAGACATTCACACCAGGGCTAAACATTTCTTTCAATCCTTGTACTTGAAGTGGATCATTTCATTTGGGACTCTTGTTTAAAGATGATGGGGGAATTCTTATCTGCTTTTCCAGCCCCAGGCAGAACAGGCTGGATGGGCTAACACCTCTGAGCAATGCTCCCAGAAACTGTCTCCTCTGTGCCACTGGCATTTCATGGGTTTGACTGAAGGGGAGCCACTGAAGGAAAGCATCAAAGGAGACATCACAGTGTACCAAAGGGCTCATGAGATACCATTCACAGTCCCAGAGCTGGGAAAACTACACCTGAAGAGTTTTTGGCAGCTTCCCTGCTCAGTTTGCTTGTGCCCACAGTTAACACAACCACAGCATGCCTCAGGCTGTCTGGGTGCTTCAAACACTGGGGCTATTTAACATTCCTACAATGTGTTAAGAGCTTACCCCACTGCTGCATTTGGTAGGAAACTGCAAAAAAGGGTATTTTAACTACTTGCCTCAGGTTGGGGGATAGCTCTTCTTAGATTTTTTTTTTAAGTGTAGTAAGTCCAAGCAGGCAATTTGTCCTTGGAATTTTTTCTATCTCATGAAGGGTTACTGGTTGGTTTGGGCCTCCTGCTCTCCTTTCTTTCCCAGGAGAGCAGTGTTACCTGCCCCAGCAGGGCTCTGCAGAGCAGAGAGGCTCGGTGATGCTTTCCCTCGGAGCCCGAGCATACAGTGACTGTGCAGTCATCTGCTGCTGCTGCTGGCAGGGTGTGAACAGAGGAATTAGCAAAGGAGTGATGAGGATGGCATGATTACAGGTGAGTTCTCACTACTGGCTGGCGATCAGCCCCGAGAGTCAGCTGAAGTCTCCATCCAGTGAAGCCGAAGTGATGGTGCAGCCAAGCACATCGTTCACTCAGAGGCCGAGAGCCGAGGGAGGGCTTCCTTCAGAAACCAGGCTTGACTTCTTGGCTGCATTCAGCAGAGGCAAAACAATGCCTGGACAAACAGTCCCTGACTTGTGTCCCCTGTGCCACGTCAGTGTGACATTACTATGTTATTTCTCTGTCAAGAAATAGCACACAACCTTTTCTACCCGGCTCTGAGCAGGCAGGGACTTCCTGGAAAGTTCATTCTCACAGATGAAGATGTGGGCTGGGGACAAGGTGTGCCTGTAGCTGAGGGAGCTTTGCCTGGAAAGCCTTAGGAGGCTTGTTTTTTAGTTGGCTTTGGCCAGCTAATTAGCTGTGGTTTGCCTCAGCTCTGTGCATCGTCCCCGCAGAGCTGCCGAGGGGTTCCAGGAGAGCACACTGCAGCAGCGCTGCCCAGCCATTTTTTGGCAGAAGAATTAAGTGCCCCCTAATTCTACCTTTGCCTTCAGAGAGCAGGTACAGCAGAGGACAGTTCCCAAAGCCATCTGGCTGCTTAAAGAAGATATCTCTGGTGTCCAGCAGGGCCAGCTGGCAGTTCGTTTAAATTAGCAGAGAAAATGCCCTGTGCTGTGGTGCTGCCAAAAGTAATTAAGTGTGACAGCAAAACTGCATTCAATTTATCTTCCTTCTGGGATATTATCCTGCTAAAAGGCACCCTAGAGGAGATGAGGGTTGGACAGGACCCCCAGGTCAGTCTCTTGCTGTGTCCCACCTTGTCCCTGACAGACATGGGTCTATCCACTCTTGGAGTCTTCCAGGGACAGAGAGAGCAGATCCTGCCATGCCACCTCTGCAAACAGACATGGGTCTATCCACTCTTGGAGTCTTCCAGGGACAGAGAGAGCAGCCATGCCACCTCTGCAGCATTTTGACCTTACTGGAGGAAAAATGTCCTCTAATTTCCACACAGATCCTTCCTGGTGTTATTCAAGTCTGTCTTAGGCTGAACTGCTGCCCTCTCACATTTACTAGCCCACTGAACACCTTCATCATCAGCATGCCTACTCTCTTCCAGTTCTCTGGACTCTCTCCAGGTTTTCCACTTGAAGTACAGCCTCTAAAGCTGGCCACAAGCCTCACTACAGCTTTGTGCATGCAGAGAAAGGTGATGGGATCAGTAAAAGCCCTCCAAGCCCTGCTTCCACCTGCCTGTGTGGTGTTCATTCCTTCTGCAGCAATGTTTCCCCTGTGCCGCTTGTGACTCACTGCAGCCACCATGTCCTTCCCTAAAAAACAAGCTGTTTCCTACTGTGTATTTATTTGATTAGTCCTTCTGTAGAGTCCTGGGCTTGTCCCTGCTGAGTAGCACTTTCCGTTTCCAGACCATTTCTTTGGTTAGTGTGGATCCGGGCACTGCCCTCGCTGTTCCTGCCACGCTCGCAGCCAGTGCCGGTGTGCGGCTGGGGAGCCTCCTCTCCAGCCCATCCTCAAGCCACAAATGAAAATACTGAGCAGAGCTACATCCAGGAGGGACCTTTCAATATACCTCTCTTTATCTCTTCCCATGTCAGGAAAATCCATTTAGAGGAAAGTCCTCAAGTGCATTTTCACTCAGGCCACGTCCCCCTGGCTTGCTGGTAGGAACGCTGTGTGAGACGGGGTCAGCATCTGAAGGTTAGGAGGGATGGCTGACTGCTGCCACCTCACACGAAATTAATTCCTCTGGCATGGAAGGGAATCAAGCCAGTCTGACACAGCTCCCTCTGGACAGACCCACGGTGACTTTGTGGGGGTGTTTTTTTATTTTCTAAGTGCATGCAAGTCACTTACTTGATTACTTCTTCCAGGAACTGAAGCATACCTGATTGGCCTGTAATTCTTCTCCTTTTTCCCTCATTAAGGACAGTATGCCATTATCCTCAGACCAGACTCCCCCTTTCCATGCCTGGGAAATAGCACTAGAAGATGAAAAGCTGGAAGGAGTCTCCTGTTCAAAAGTCATGTGGATGTGGCACTTGGGGAACATGGCTCAGTGGTGGACACGATGGTGATGGCTTAAGAGTTGGACTCAATGATTTTGGAGGTTTTCTCCAACCTCAGTGATTTTATGATTCTGTGGTTCTAACTCCCTCCCAAGTCTCTACCAGCTGACAGAGAGGCAGGCCCAGGTACAGGGGGTGAGGTGATCCTAAGGCTTATCCCTTAGGAAAGCCTGAGCTGAGTTCCTGGCCCTCAGCTGCTTCTCACCCTCACCCTCACTGCTGGCCCTCACCAGCTTAGACAGGACCTGCTGTGTCCTGCCTTTAGCCCAAATAGCCTGGCACCCTCACAGGGACACATAGGATTGACCATTCCAAGACAAGGGGACTAGAGGTGGGCAATAGTTTCACACTTTTTTAGCTATTTCCCATCTGCACCCAGATTCAAGTTGCAGTGGTGTACGGTTTCTGTTCAGTGCATCCAATGGTTTGCATCCAAACAAAACCCAGCCAAAGCAAACTGGCAGTGTTCTTAAATGAAATGTCTTATTTCTTGCATTAGAAACATGGTTTCCTTCTTAAGTTATTATTTTTTCTTTCAAATATGATAACAAGAATCACCCACTTTGGGTCTGGCAGGGCTGTTTGATACAGGTAAGAGCAAACAGTCACTTCATTCTTTGTTTCAATCAAGGTTTTTCTTTTGTTCTCCATCCACCCAGAGCTGCTGCCTTTAGCCACTACTTTCTCTGCATGGCAAGTAAACTTAAAATCAGCTATTTAATGAGATGGCAAGAAACTGCCAAGGGCTGCAGCTTGTCAGATGCCACTGGTAAAACATAAGACCTGTTGACTCCTCTTGCCATTCTCTACTACCACCAGAGGCACGAAATACTGCTGCTGTGCTTGGGGACCTCTTGCCCTGAGCACTCCCACCACGAGCTGCTCATCCATCCTCTGCCTCCCAAGCTGGTGGAATCCAGCCAGGTGTGGGAAGGAGTGCTTTGGAGATACTTCCAAGCTGTATGGTTTTCCCCAACAGTGAAACTGGAGAAGACCCTCCCAGTAAGACCCTCCTAAGCACCAACCCCTCTAGCTGGAGAGCAGGGCTTTGGAGCAAAGCAAGTCACAGGTTCAGTGGTGGTTCTTTGTCAGGACAGATGCTTTCCTGGCTCTCCCCACACCTGCAGAGTGGGGTCCTGCCAGACAGCGACCTGCACACAGGGGCTGCCCCGCAGAGGAAGAGTTGATGGTTTTGAACATGCATTTATGGCACTACACACAAAACGGGCAGATTCTTGAAGACACATCACACGTGTACACCAGTTCACAATTTAGCCTCAGAAATAACCTGCTCTGCAGGTACACCTGGAAGGAAACGTGGCAAGTGGCTTGCAGGGTAAAGCAAAGAGCAGTACTGCCTTCATCCTGAGGAAAGCTTTTGCTTTGAACATGTTCTGGTTTTTAATATCCATCATTTTGCTCTGCATGGGGACTGCCTTAACTGAACTGGCTCAAAAATTAGCAGGTGGTTTGCAGCTGAAAATGTGCACTGGTTTCCTGCATGCTTTTTTTTTTTCAATTTCATCCATTTTGTCTTTGGGAAGGTTTCTGGCAACTTCCTGAGATCCTCTCTCCCCCTCTGTCATGCAGCCACAGATGTCATCAGCAGGGATGACAAAGTGGAGCCTCTTCAAACGAAAAGGCAAAAGCTGGTCTCTGGGAGAAGGGCTTGCTTTGAGAACTGCCTGTCCTGTCAGCCTGAAAGGTCTCAGAGCTCTTTGGTTTGAGGGCTTGCCCATCCACCTCTGGAAAGGGAGTGGGGTCTTGCAGATGCCACCAGCACCCTGAGCTCTGTGTTGCTTCTGGCTTTGGAGGTGAGATGAGGCTGTTACCTCCATCCTCTGCGCCAGAATACAGGAGACATGACACAACTTTTACACCAGTGAAAGCCTCTACCAGATGGAAGTTACAGAGCCTGTCTTCTGGATTGGTAATATCTATTAACTGGTGACTTCAATTATGAGCATTTGAAAAAGGATTCTTCTTTCCTTAAGCTAATGTTTTAGTCAACTCAAAGGGTGTATGGGACGTTGTTCTAGGAGCAGCAAAACACTTGTGGCTCTGCCTCAGAACTTGGTCTGAAACATGAAAAAAACACTCCAAAACAGTGGGTAAATGTGTCCTGGGGAGGGAGAGGAGGGTCCAGGAGAGTCCCCAGAGCTTTTCTGGGAACAGATGCATTGCGAGCAGAACTGGCCTAGCAAGGTCTCACTAACCACAGATTTAGTGAGAAAGGGAGAAAGGGTTTTCTTGCTCAAATGGATGTGACCAGGGTAGAAGGGGCTCCAGACAGCAGAGTTCACAGTGCTCCCCCTTCCTGCATGTTTCATTTCATACAGGGAACTTCCTGGCCCATGTGGTGGGATGGGAGACTCCCCCAGATACGTCACAGAGCCCATTCCCACTACCTCCCAGCAATTTCTCTGCCTACTGCATTTCTCATGGACTTGCAGAGCCCATCCCATGGCTCTTCCTCCCTACGGTGCAGCCCAGTGGCTCGCAGGGACATTATCTGGGATGCAGCACCATTGCCGCGGAGAGGAGAAGTCAGGAGGGCGAGTTCCCAGCACTTACTTGCCAGAATGACCATGTCCATGCCCCAGAATATGCTCATGATCCAGCCCACCATGACGATGGCCGTGAGGATCTGGATGAGGGCGGCGGCGATGTTGAGCCAGAAGACGCAGCACATGTGCCGGTCCGGGAGGTCGGTGCGCGCCCCGCAGAGCACCGTGAACGCCGACACGAACGTTCCTGGGGACACACAGCAGCACAGCACCCCGTGAGAGCCACGGCACCACCTCCTGCTCCTCACTGCCCCCAGAGCACCTCGCTCCCTGTGCTGCAAGAGCAGGGGGGATCTCGGGTTTCCTGCGGTCAGGATGACCCAGAGAGTCCTTTTTTCCCAGCCCGATGGGCAAAGAAGGAGTTGGCATTCCTTGGCTCTGGTTTTCAAGGTTGTTTATTTTCTCTTATCTAATACATTCTTTTCCTGACCCGCAAAGATCTGTCTAGCAGGTCTGTCCAAGGCACACTGCCCACCCTTGGGCTGGTGCCAACATTTAATACTACAAACTACGTGTACTTTATTTACCATTATTATCCAATACCTATCACTTACGTTAGACTGTCTACTTCTACCCTAAACCAATCCAAAAGTGCCAACATCACACAGAAGATGGAGGCTAGGAAGAAGAAGGAAGAAGGACAGGACAACACCCAAATCCCTCCATCTTGCCTCCTAGACCCCTATGGTAAAAATCCCCAAAATTCCACTTTTCACCCTGTGCTAAATTCATTATCATTCTACTTAAACTTTTTGTGACTTGTAATTCTTCATACAAGGTTGTTAATTTGCTCCATGGGTTAAGATTGAAATCCCAAGTGTCTTTGGCTTCCTGCGAGGGTTCCCAAGCCCCCTGCCAGGGGCTCGAGCCATCCAGGGCACACAGAAGGATGTTCCGACAGGTGGAAAAAGCACACCTTGGGTATAGTAAAATCAGGGCCCCCGATGGAGGGAAACGATTGACATCTGACTCCAAGGAATGCTGAACGCTTGCTTTATTAAAACTATATTATGTTGCATTATACTGTACTATAACTATACTACATCATACTTGCAGCACTCTGAATTGCTGCTAGCATAGTCCAGGGTAAGGAAGCAAAAAGTGCCTTTGCATAATATCCACAGATGTTTCATTCAGCTGCGCAGTGAGATGTTCAAGTCCCACACACACACACACACACAGAAGGTCCAGCTTTTTCTCCCCAGGGGCCTGGGCTGACCCTGGTCTCAGGGCAGTACAAAGATGAGGGCCAATCAGGGAATAGGGAAGAGTGCCTCAGGGACATAGGAACAGACATAGGAACAGGGGAAGGAGCCGATGGGGTCTAAGAGCTTCTTGAGGGAAGCTTCTTGTGTCTCCCTAGACCAGGAAATGCTCCCCCCCCCCAGCGTTTCCACACATACTTACTTCTAACTAACTACTGAAAAACTCGTGACTGTCTGTCTACAATCCCAACACCCACACATGGATCCAATTGGTCAATGAAGCAAAACACCATCACCAGAATCCAATCAAGCAATCACCTGTAGGTAAACAATCTTCAGAACACATTCCACATGAGCACAACAAGAGCAGCAAATGAGGTAAGATTTTTTTTTTCTCTGAGGTTCCTTACTGCTATTCCCAAGAAATATCCTTGGGAAGGTGTGCCTGCTTGCTGTCTAATAAGAGAGCTGTGGCTACACTTGGGTTTTGGCTTGTTCCACCCCACCTAAAGGAAACGACTTCTGTACTGCAAGGGAGTGCTGTGTATCTGTGGAAATACCTTTGCTCTGCCTGGTGACTCTCTCCTGGGGAGAAACACCACACAGCAGCTCTGAAAAGGAAAGCTGAACCCAAAGTTAGGGGAGGACTGGTGTGGCATTCACATTCTCTGAAGGTGATTCCTTTGCCCAGGATTTTTCCCCTGGGAAGCTGAGAGGCCTCAGAGAAAAGAAAAACAATTCTTATCTCATTTGCTTCTCCTGTGTTGTGCTCATGTGTGGAATGTGTTTGGAGATTGTTTACCCACAGGTGATTGTTTCATTGGATTCTGGTGTGAATTGTTTTGACTCTTTGGCCAGTCAGGGCCAAGATGTGTCGAGACTCTGGAAAGAGTCACGAGTTGCCATTATTATCTTTTTTTAACATTGAGTAAGTATCTTTTCTGTATTCTTTAGTACAGTATAGTATAGTATTCTTTAATATAATATAGTATAATAAAGTAATAAATTAGCCTTCTGATAAGATGGAGTTCTCCTCATCATTCCTTCCTTCGTCAGTGGCCCTGTATTTACAATAGACTGGCTCTAGGAATCTCTAATGGTCTGGCAGTCTGTTGCTATGCACAAATACTGCTCTAGAAGAAGCAGACACAAAAAAAAAAAAAAGAGGAGTGGCACTCAATTTTTGCACAATTTTTGCACACCCAGTCACAAGCTGAGACCTGAGGGCATGTTTTAACCAAGCAGAAGTAGCTAAACTTCTTAAAGTGATGGAGCCAGGGGACCTGGTGTGGCAACCCTTGCCTCTGCTTGAGACCAACTTACAAATCTTGCAACCTCACTTCAGACTTCCTAAAATGTTTCAGATGAAGGAGCTTGTTGATGTGTGAAAATTAAAGCTGGGGAAAAAAAAAAACCTACACCTCAGCAGCCTTTCACAAAGATTGTTCCTAAATTTACACTCTTGGATAAGGCAGATTTTTTACTTTTAGCTGCTATGTTGTGTTCATGGCTGGCTGAAACTCAGCTCAGGGAAGCCTTGTCTGTCCCACAACCAACATGAAGAAATACACACTATAGGTAAGGAGCAGAAGAAGCAGTTCCTGACTCCTCTAAAATATGAGCTGTTGGCCAGGAGGTTCAGGCACCTTTTCTAAGTATGGATTTCAACACCTCTCAGCATTATGAAATGTCTTTGGGTTTTTCTAAAACAAATACAGCATTGCTAAGGCAAGAACCAAGGTTCAATGTTGATTGTATTGGATAACACAGTCCTGTGAAATGCCTTCTTTCATCAGTATCTTGAATTAAAATGATAGTTTCTACAAAAACTGCCTTTTTTCCTCTTAAAGGATGGAAGCCTGCGAACAGCCTGTGAGATGTGAATGAATGAGCACATCTTCAGTGCACATGAGTGTCTTGTTGAACTCAGGGGAAGGTGGGAGTCCCTTGGTTGGACTGAAGACAGGGATAAAACACTCAGTTTACACCCTTGTAGTAAATCTTACCAGACCAAGAGAGCAGAACCATCTGCTTAGAAGCAAAATACCATTTTGTCCTGCACTGCTGGGGAGGTGAAAGAGAAAATCTCTTCCTTTGCTGCCTCTTCCTTAGTGGGTCACAAGGATAACAGGCAGCTGAGATGCCAAAATGCTGGGGAAGGCTGGCTACAGCCTATTTTTAATCCTGCCTCTCTCTGCAAGCTTCAATTCCAGCGTCTTCCTAACACTCCAGCAGCTCCTAAAGCCGCGCTCGTGTTCCTGCCGCTGGCTGGATCCGATTCCTTGTTGCCACCCCCTCCCTGTGGCATCTGCCAGAGCTGGGCATGGAGCAGGGATGGAGGGGAGTGAGCGAGTGCTGCTGGGGCAGGGGGAACAGCCCTACAGCACAGCATCACTGCCGGGGACAAGGGCAGCATCTTCTGCATGAGAACCACCCCTGGGCTTCCTCCTCGGGCTTTCACGGCAGGGTTTCATCCCCTTATCCACAAAAACAAAAGGATCTGCAGAGAGGAAAGGGAAAGTCGTTATAATCCCAAAGGATGTTGTGTGAATCTCCCCATAGCTGTCTTTTGCTCTGTGGCATTGTCTTCCACGTCTCTTGTGTCCCCTGTGTGGGATTATGTGACATCTTTGCCCTGCTTCACCCACCTTTTTTTCCCTTTATATTTTATCAAAGCAGAGGGAAGCCTGGAATATTTCCCTCCTGCTTCCTGAAAGTGTTGTCTTCAAAATTGCACCACAGCACTCTCTGAGATTAAATATGGATTGAGGCAAGATCAGAGGCTGGGTGTTTATGTTTTCCCATCAGGATGCAAAATCTTGCCAAATGGAAATGTCTGTCTCTTTTTAAAATGAAAATCTTGCCCTCTTGCCTAACCTTTAACTCTTCCGAGATGTGTTACAAAGAGAGGTCAAAAATGGGCAATAATTCTTAAACTACAGCTTCAAATCCTTCCAGTGAAGCTTTTAAGATATTTACATCATTAGAGCAAGGTGCTGAATTAGCCAATTAATGCCCTAAATACCACAGTGACTAAGCTAAAGTCTAGTCCCATTCAGAAAGGAATAAAGCTAACAAAGCATTTAAGTGTCCTCCTCTGGACTGGGAATAGATACAGAAACTGGGATTAAAATCGCATGAACCTTGACTTCTGATTCCTCTTCAGGCCACTTTCCTACTCACAGGAGCCAATTCATTTTTCCAGTGTCAGTGCATTTTCTTTATTACTTATGATGAGCCAATTTTTGGGAGCTTGCTGGCATTTTTGAACTCAAGACTTTGGCTGTGCCAGCAGCCATAGGATGGAAGCATTTTCCCTCTGCTCCACATATGCTTGAGAATGTGAAGCAGGAGTAAGAGTCTTCAATGCTTTTGCCAAAGTAGATGTTTTTCCCTTAGGAAGCCATCGTGGTTACACACTGCCAGATATGGAATTATTTGCATCTGGAAACAGAGAGGTGGAGAGGAGAAGGAGAAGGAAGGCAAGCAAGCTGTATCTGCTGATAGCACCTGGCTGGGGCACCAAACCATTTCCCTCCCTGACCAGGCTTGAATCCCTACGGTCTGGAAATCCTAAACCTGGAATGCCAGCTGCTGGGGTGATGTTGGCCAAATAAATCAGCAGTCCAAAAAGGTCTCAGGTTGTGAGTGCAACCAGCAATCACAAACCAGCAACTCCAAAAGCAGATATAAACTGAACACCCATGCAGTTATGCCAGTATAACATAAGTAAATTATAGCAAGCATTTCTTCTATCTTCCCAATGGAAAACACCCAATCTGCAATGAAATATGGGATTATTCTAAATCACGAATTAATACAGCCTCTTGGGGACACAGGGGAGGTGATGGAGATGTCCTGGCCTGTCTTTAATGAGTCTGTTTGTTCAGCCCCTTGCAATCACCTGGCTGAACAAACAGCCCCTGCTGCACCTGAAGCCAGCAAGTGCCAGGGGCAGAGGGCTGGGTGGGAGCTCAGGATC